TTTCTAAAAAGTCCAAGAACACCTCTCTAGGGTTAAAATTGGAAGAGATATGCCTTGTCAAAGTTGACCATTTGTTCAAAATTGCCAAAAGTCAAATATGCTCAAAAACGCATTTTTTGCCAAATGAGCCTAACTTTTTATGCTTGCACCTCACTCATAACATGGTCCACGACCCAAATATTCACCCACACATTATTTTCTACATTTTTCATTTTATTTTGATTTTTTTATTAATTAAAAATTGAATTAAATCAAATAAATGACAAATAATAACAAAGATTTGTTTTGATCTGATTTTTGGACAGGATCACAAGCTAATTATGCTGGCATATGAGAATCAAATCGAATCAAGGTTGATTGGCACAAGAATGGCATGATTAGGACTAATTTGGAAAGATATCATACAAGATGAAAATCAAATCAAATCTTCAAAAATTGCAAAGATGCTAGCTGTTTTTATAACCCTAATTAACTTAGGGATATAGAATGAACAAGCCCAGGCACGAAAACAAGGATTGGCAGTGGTGGAAAGCACAATACAAAAGTCAAAATTTTTGCAAAAAGTGGTGATCTGATCTCTACCCTAGAGGATAATTCAAGGCTTTCCAACATTCCTAAACGATTCCCGGACCTTCCCAAAAGCTAACACAATCAGTAGCAAGCACTCTCGTGCCCAGAATCACTCCCTATACCTCATACGGTTTGCTTTCTTTTTCAAAATCGATTACAACCATTCTTGCATATTTAGCATAATTTAATGATATATTTGTGATTATTGATGTATTTCTAACATGTCTGGATCATTTAACTGAATTTTTGAGGCCTATATGTATGACTGCCATTACTAGGGTTTCAAGCTCCGTTTTAGGGTCTTTTAGCACAGGCAAAATTAGGGCTGGATAAAGGCACCATGATGTTCAGGGCTTCAAGCCCAGTCGATTCATGGTCTCCATTGGAATTTATATTGCTTATATTTAAGCTTTGAATGATACAAGTTTGTAGCTACGGACATTGTCCGTAGGTAAAAGGTCGTTAGCTAAAACGACGGTTCCAGGAAAAAGATAATAATATGGCTAATCATCATTGGACGATTTGAATTTCGCGCTTCTTTTTATATCCAGACACTTTGTTCATATATTATATATTATTTTCATTATAGTAACAACTAACGCATGTAGCGCAGCTGGCAAGAACGTATGTTGGAAAGGGTAGAGGACTTGGGTTCGATCCCAGGTCCCAGCAACTTTCTTATTTAATTTTCCTTTTGCAGATCATGTACATCACCATCTCCAAGGCCTATCATGCGCCATCAATAGCCAACCACGAGATTCATGATTAACCAGATCCAATGCCTCTACCTTCCAGAGACCATGGTGCACCATCAAGAGGGAGCACCACTGGATCAGGCGCTGACTGGGCTTCAACTTGGTGGGCCTGGAATATTTTCAACAATACACCCCCCCTGATTTCTTCAGCAAACAGGCCCATTCTTATTTTTTTATTTCTTATTAATTATTTCCTAATTATATTTCTTTTTAAAATAACATCAAAATTATAATTTTTTAATCAAAATCACAAAAAACACCAAAAATAATTTTTTTTCATAAAATATTTATTTTCTTTAATTAATTAATTTAATTCAAATTAGGTTAATTTAACTCCTTTTTATAATTAAAATCAATTAGAAATTAGGGTTTAATTTTTGTATATAATTAATTTTTTCTTCAAAAATAACTTAAATATTTTTTCTCAAATTAGATTTTTTAGGTTTTCTAATCTTCCTCGCATTTAATTCGTCGCGCGTATTTTAATTACTTTTTTTAATTATTTTTGTAACTACTTCGAGGTTGTAATAGATTTAATTAGGTTTTAATTCTGCATTTTATTTTCAGTCAAAATAATTATGTATCTGCGAAAGCCATGTAATAGTTATGATTTCTATTTCCGTACTTTAAATATCCGCAATTATTAACTGTTAGATGTATGCTAATAGGATTGTATGGGAAGAATGTTTGAAAATTAAAACGGTAGAAAACCCTAAATATGCAAATACAAATTAACTGAAAAAGTTCACTCGCACATCTCACTCCTAGTGATTACACCACTTCGGTTGCCTTCGGTTAAACGACCATGAAGTATAGGGTTTGTTAGTGGTCGTCCTCTAGCCCCGAAAGATCTCAAATGACCCATTCGGATGTTGCCTCGGAAAAAGATCTTTAAGGCTTTAGGATGATTACTAACACCTCCTAACATTGCTTTTGTGACCGTATCTGTCCCTTCGAACGTCCCTTAAAACTCCAACGACGATGCTAAATATTCCTTAATAATGGGATAGCGTTGTCTAAAGGAGAACGAACAACCTTTTTCGAGTAGGTAGGTAGTTCCTAGGTACTTGCTCAAACAAACAAACACTTTTCAAACAATTTTCAAAACAACTTCGTCACACCCTTGAGGACTGATACAAGGGTTATCACGAAGTAAACGTTTTTTCAAAACAACCACACACACAAGCTATTTTAAAATGAGCAAGTACCTAAGAGCCCATGGAAACCATGGATAGAAAGGGTGCTAACACCTTCCCTTTCTATAATCTACCCCTCGTACTCAGAAATATTCTCGAAAAAGGTTTTTTCTGTTCTTTTTCCTTTTCCTAATTGGATAAAATAAAAGTCGGTGGCGACTCTTGCTTACCGCGACATTTTACGAACGAAAAACGCAAAACGCAAACCAGTATTAACAGTCGGTTCTGCCACCGTATCACACATACCCTATTTTTTCACTTAGAATGAGTCGACGCATGTGGGTATGTGTCAACTCATGCTGCAGTTTTTTGCCTTAAATATTGTTTTATTGTCTATATAGGTCAGTTTACAGTATATGATTGATAAACATAAACACCAAGCAAATGGTTAGCATCAAAGGGGAAATGATTACTATATTTTATCTTCGAAAACGAATCATGCATGAAAAATGAAAAGCTCAAAGTTAAGAAGACTTACCTTGGGATTGCACTTGGTGTTTTAAGTCTGAATACTTTTCAGCTATTGTGATGGCTCCAATAAATCTCCAGGAAGTTGTCCCAAACTGTTGAATCAAACTAACTCAGTCAAGTTGTATAGTACTGTTTTTGTGTTTGGAGTGTGAGGATAATGGCACTACAGAAATTATTCTTGTGTTTGAACAATCTCTATGATAAGGTGTTTGGTTTATGGGAGAGTTTGTAAGATGGAATAATGGATTGAGGGTTTCTGTTTTGAATGAGAGTAGAGCTGTTTTTTTGAATGAGAAAAGATCTTTTATGAATGAGTAGAGTTTACAAAGAATACTGTTTTTTCTGCTAAAAACTCTCTATTCTCTCCCTAGAAGCTCCCCTTGTGTGTGTTGGCTGAAGATTTTGATGATACAGTTCGAAATGAAGCAATATGGATGTTTCGTTGGAATAAAGCAAAATGTTACAGTTCGGAATGGTAGAAGTGGTTCTTCGAACGGACATGTCAAAGCTCGGAGCTTCGAGTGACAGTTGTGAAGATATATTTAAAAGAAGCCTCGAAGTGGTAACGAGACTGTGTCTGTGAAATGAGTTCGAAGCGAAGATTGCCAAGGCATTTGAAATTCAAACGCGAGCGGGATGTTGGAATTCAAATATATATGCGCTGGAGCGTTCGAAGACGCGTGGAAGCTAGAGAAGAGCAGTGCTCTGGATGTTCCGAACGTGGCAGAATCTTATAAGCAAGACCGTTATGGTCGAAGTAGTATAAATAGAAGTCTTAGCGTTAGGATTTCGTGTGTCATATCTATTGTACAAAATTCAGTAAACATTCAAAATACCACATGGATAGGGAAACGAATGCTCGAACAATGTACGTATGATAACACCAAACATTTATAATTCAGTAAAACTCTTTATCTTTTCCAGTTTATCTTCCATTTTCATGTCAATGTCATTCAAATACCTTTACATTCAAAGGCATTTACTTATTTCTTGCATTTAAATGCTTTTCTTCTATTCGAATCCTTTACATTTCAAAAACTCTTTTACATTTCATGCTTTTATATTCACGCTTTTTACATTAAAATATTTACATTCAAAGTCATTTACTTATTTCATGCATTTAAACGCTTTTCTTCTATTCGAATCCTTTACATTTCAGAAACTCTTTTACATTTCATGCTTTTATATTCATGCTTTTTACATTAAAGTCTTTACATTCAAAGTCATTTACTTATTTCATGCATTTAAACGCTTTTCTTATATTCGAATCCTTTACATTTCAGAAACTCTTTTACATTTCATGCTTTTATATTCATGCTTTTTACATTAAAGTCTTTACATTCAAAGTTATTTACTTATTTCTGCATTTAAACATTTCTTTGCAATCGAATCTTTGCTCATTCAATTCAGTTTCGTATTTCTTTACTTGATCATGTCATTAGATTCTTTTAACATGGTAATCGAATTGAATTGAACGTCTATAAAACATTCTAAATACAAATCCTAACTATGAATATCAGTTTTGCAATTAGATTTATCCAAACGACCAATACCCCATAGGATCAATCTAGTCGATCCTGCAAGTTACCAGAGAGATTAAATAACAGTCATTAAGATTATTTGATAGTTTGGAGGACTAGCGGTTGTTTACCAGAAATCACTGTAAACAAATTGGCACGCCCAGTGGGACAGTCATTGGTCGTTATGAAAGTTAAAACAAAGTAAAGATTGTTAGGATATAATCATTGTAAAAGTTCTTTCTGAGTGATAAGTTCGTTGTTATATGAACCTTAGAAGTGGTAGAATAACCAATAACAACCAACCCTTACCCAGAAGAAAACGTAATAACAAGATGATTAATCCAAACAATCAACAAGGGGAACAAAATGCCCCACATGGAACAGGCACTAATATGTCTGCTTCGACGGGAACGTCTAATGCGATCCCTTCGAGTGCATAGTCTGTTGCATCCTCTACCAGTAGTGTAGCCACGAATGGAACAAGTGGCATGTCGACTAACAGTTCGATCCTAGGAAATACAGGAACCACTGGTTATCCGGGGGGATTCGTCCCACCATCAGGGACACAAACCCATTTCGCCACCCCACTAACTAGACCACCCGGTTTCGATGGTAACAGACACAGAAATCCCTCTTATGGGATGCCAACATCTTTTATGGCGGGTCTGCACACTTCGACATCGAATACGTCACCACAATTAGGGTCTGGATCTGGGGCTAATCAATTTATGACAAATAACCAAGGGTCAGTAGGTTATAGTGCATTGCTTATCTTAACCACAGAAAATCAGATGGCTTTTAGGCAATTAATGGATGATAGTAACCATAATATGATAGAAGTGTTAGCACAAACTATGCAAGAGATCTTTGCCCCAATAGTACAAAACGTAACTGTAACCAAAAGAGAAAACGCGGACAACATGAGTCGAATAGCAGATTTTTTTTTCTCCGCCAGAAAGGCGTAGGCAGAATCAGGTGGGGGTTCGAGCGAACATGCCCATCATAGAGCAAATTGCTGCTGACCCACCCTATAGACCAGCCAGAGAGGGGGTTAACTTGGGGGCAAGGGCACAAAGGTTAGAAGCCCCGGTAATTAGAGACCCACAAAGGGAAATTATGGAACCAGGGGCAAGGGTCGAAAGGTTAGAAGTCCCAGAGTTTCGAGAAGAACAACCTAGAGGAGTTGTCATGGTGGGACAACACCAAGATGCTGATGAAGTCGTTCATAGAATTCGAAATGACAACATCTTGGCAGAAAATAATTTAACCACCATGATAGAAAGGATTATGGCTCAAAAATGTCTCAATACAGGTATTAGAAGGCCAAACTATTCCTCTCCCATAATAGATTATGTGATGCATACTGATTTACCAAGGGGATATAAAGTCCCTAAATTTACAAAGTCCGCTGGAGACACCAATGAATCAACAGTCGAACACATAGCCAGGTATCTAACCGAAGCAGGAGATATAGCAAATAATGAAGACCTTAGGATTAAATATTTCCAAAGTTCCCTAACTAAGAACGCTTTCACATGGTTCACCACTTTGCCTCCTGGGTCTATAGATACTTGGGCTCTGTTGGAGAGGTTATTTCATGAAAAATTCTACATGGGACAATCTAAAATAAGCCTGAAAGAGTTAGCCAGTGTCAAGAGGAAGTTTACTGAACCCATAGATGATTATCTGAATAGGTTCAGACTCTTGAAATCTAGATGTTTCACAGTAGTTCCTGAACACGAGTTAGTCGAAATGGTTGTTGGTGGCCTAGATTAATCCATTCGAAAGAAATTGGATACACAACACTTGAGGGATATGGCCCAACTAGCAGACAGGGTTCGACAAGTCGAAAGACTAAAAGCCGAGAAGGCCAGAGTTTTTAAAAATAACAAGAAAGAAAGGGTCTCCTATGCTGGAACTGAGGAAGCAGAAGATTACCCTGTGTTCGAAGAGGTCGAAATTGATCTCGCTGAATTGAAACAGGCTCCCCCTTATTCCTGTAAATTACTAGTTCCCACAAAAGGGAAAGAAATTATTGAAAATGAGAAAAGTGACAAATTCCCAAAGAAGGTGTATACTTTCGATGTAACAAAGTGTGACGAGATTTTTGATTTGCTTGTCAAAGATGGCCAACTAATTGTGCCATCGAATGTCAAAATACCTCCTTTAGATCAAAGAAAGAAAAGAGGATTTTGTAAGTATCATAGTTTCCTAGGCCACAAAACCTCACAGTGTTTTCTTTTCAGGGATCTGATTCAAAATGCAATTAAGGATGGCAGATTGAAATTCGCTGACAAACCAAAAATGAAAGTAGATGAAGACCCTTTGGATGTTGCAGACACCAATTACTCCGAGCCTTCATGCATTGGAGAAATCAATATGGTGGAAGCAGATCAAGATGACACTCCATTAGGAGAAAAAAGCACTGAGAATGAAAATTGGGTGTTAGTCGAAGTCAACAAGGGGGTCACTGAGGACGTCCACAAGCAACTAGAGGCTTCGATCGAACCAGTACCTTTGGTTGTTTTGAAAGAAATCCAGGCTACTGAAGGCCAGGAGAACCAAAAGCAAGAGTTGACACAGGTTACTGAAGGCCTGAGGCTAAAATTGGAGAAAGTCCAGATCACAAAGCCAACTTCCCCTAAGAAAGAAATATGGGATACTTTGGGAGAGCCCAGTGGAAAGTTTGACTACTTGGTGAAGTATTCTGCCCCAGAAAGTTCAAAAATCCAAATCGAAGATGTCAAACCTACAGGATGGGGAGATGATGACATAAAGGGGGAGGATGTAGATGTCAACATGGTGGATATGGAGAGACCTCGTTCTGAAATGGAGGAGATGGAAAGATACTTAGAAAAAGAAAAATACAAAATGGAGGATAGTTATGCTAGGGATGCCAGTTTTAAAGACTACCTCATGTTGTGCCACAAAGGAGATGCCGAAATGATACTATGCCATAGATGCAGCATCATCTGCAACCAGAGAATTGCTGCAAACTTCGAGAGGAAACAAAGGGCACGAACTGGCATCAACTGGCGCCAGGATAACCAGTTATTCAGATGTTACCCTAAAGCTGGAGAAAGTTTGTTGGAGTTTGTGGTTCGCTGTCACAAAGGGGCAACCAAATGCCTAGTATGCCCAAGGTGTTCTGCAGTGTACGATCAAAATATGGCCGGAGCCTTCGAAACAATCCCTTTCGCCCCATGCTGGAACCACAAAGAGACTGGTCAGATGAGCCAACGTTTCGAAAGCAACTACACTCAACGAAGGCCTGATAGTCCTCATCCCAAAGGCGCTCGAAGGGTAACGTTCAAAATTCCTGCTGAAATACCAACAGACAAATGGCTGCAAGTCAGAACTGACAAGGGCAAAGACAAATGGAGAAACAATTAACGAAACGCACGCCACGCCATGACATATAGAAGGCAGTTCAATATGGCGAAGAGGGAAGAAGTGAGGTTAGAAAACTACAAAGGAAGAAACCCTATGTCAAGATGACAATGCGAAGGAAACAAAGAATTCGAAAGGCTGAAAGGGAAGCTATGGCAGATAAAGGAGAAACTTTGATCAAAAACCAAGGAGAATCAAGCACCAACAAACCTACACCAAATAATCAACCTGAGGACAAACCCCTAGTTAGTAGGAGACTCTTCTCTGAAACACAACCAAATGAATCGAAGGATTACACACCAGGTCCAAAAGAAGACGAGGATATGCTAACGGACAACTTCGAATCAGAGGGGGAGTCTTCACTCAATATCAATTGCAACATGGTATCTGTACTACCTTGTGAGTTTGGATAGGAAACTGAAATCGAAGAGCATGAGGAGGATGATACAATAGATCTGATGAAGCATAGGCCAGTGTGTTACTACGTAATGGATAACGGAGCTGTCGAAGAGCATAATGCTTTCTTTGAGCGCCCAGAGCCAGCTATGAAAAATCATCTGAAGCCACTATTCATTCGAGCAAAGGTTGGTACCCATGGTGTAAATAAGGTCTTAGTGGATGGAGGCGCTGCAGTTAACTTAATACCCCATTTCATGCTGAAAAAGTTAGAAATACACGAGGGTGACATCAAACCACACAACATGGTCGTATCCAACTATGAAGGGAAAGTAGGTCAAACATTGGGGGTAGTTCAACTGGACTTGACGGTAGGATCGAGCTGCAGGCCCACCATGTTCATGGTGATCGAAGCCAAAGCTAACTACAACTTGTTGTTAGGAAGAGAGTGGATCCATGGCGTAGGAGCAATCCCCTCATCAATGCATCAAAGGTTAGTATTATGGAGAGAGGATGGCATTGTTGAGAATATAGAAGCTGACCAAAGTTACTTCATGACAGCAGTCAATCTAGTTGACAAGAGAAATTATGACAAACACTTGGCCAAGATTGCTCCTTGTGCCCCTAACGACGAAATCAACGAAACCAGGAATGCACACTATTATATGACCCTTCGCCATGATGGCATGTATTGGGATAGAACAATAGTCAGTGAAGATGAAGGAGTCGAAGGTACTATGCAAAGACAGCCAGCAGGCTGGGAGTTCGACAACCTTGCTCATGATTGAGTCCTCCTTCTTCGAAAGGATTTCGGCCTATATGGCTGAGAACGAATGGAAAGCGGCCTTAGAGGCTGAAATAGATAAATTGGCTGTAGAAGTAAACGAAATAAATGGGGATGGTTAGAAAGGCTCACACTTTGAAGAACACGAAATAGATAAAAGGCTAGATGCCATCTATGATAAGGAACCCTTAGGCTTTGAGAAGGACCCCGCAGACTCAGGTGCCAAAATGTTGGCGCAGGATCCGCTCGAAGAAGTGAATTTGGGGGATGAGGACACGAAAAGAATAACCTACATAAGCGCAAAACTTAATCCAGGCCTCAAGAAGGAAGTGATCGAAGTCCTCAAGAGAAACAAAGATTGCTTCGCATGGGACTATGATGAAATGCCTGGTTTAAAGAGGGAGTTAGTGGAGCACAGACTTCCAATCAAGGATGGCAAGAAGCCCATCAAGCAAACTCCTAGAAGATTCGCACCAGCGGTTCTCACAAAGATCAAAGCTGAGATCAAAAGGTTGTTGCGCTGCAGATTCATCAGAACCACAAGGTATGTCGAATGGTTAGCAAATATAGTGCCTGTTATTAAGAAAAATGGCTCTCTGAGAATTTGCATAGATTTTAGGGATTTAAATACTGCAACCCCTAAAGATGAGTACTCCATGCCTGTGGCAGAAATGTTAATAGACTCTGCTGCAGGGTTCGAATATTTAAGTATGTTAGATGGATACTCTGGGTACAATCAGATTTTTATTACTGAAGAAGATGTTGCCAAGACAGCATTTCGTTGCCCAGGAGCCTTAGGCACCTACGAATGGGTAGTGATGCCTTTTAGTTTAAAAAATGCTGGGGCAACTTATCAAAGGGTGATGAATTCGATTTTCCATGATTTCATTGAAACCTTTATGAAGGTGTATATCGATGATATAGTCATCAAATCTATATCTGCAGAAACCCATTTGCATCATTTGAGCCAATCATTCGAACGAATGAGAAAACATGGCTTAAAAATGAACCCCCTTAAGTGTGCATTTTTTGTGCAGGCTGGAGATTTCCTTGGCTTTGTGGTTCATAAAAAAGGAATCGAGATCAACCAAAATAAGACCAAAGCCATAATGGAGACGAAAGCACCTACATCAAAAAGGGAGCTGCAATCATTGCTAGGGAAGATTAACTTTCTCAGAAGGTTCATTTCGAATCTAAGTGGAAGAACCCAAGCTTTCTCTCCGTTGCTTCGTTTGAAGCAAGGCCAAGCCTTCGAGTGGAACGAAGCCCATCAGGAGGCATTTGACAAGATAAAAAGATATCTCTCTCAGCCTCCCATCTTGTCTCCACGTTCATGGGGAAAGCCCATGAGATTGTACATATCCGCCTCTGAAGTTAGTATAGGTAGTATGTTAGCACAAGAAGATAGCAATGGCATCGAAAGAGCCGTATACTATTTAAGTAGGGTATTGAATGATGCAGACACTAGATATAGCAATATAGAAAAGCTATGTCTCTGTTTGTACTTTTCTAGTATGAAACTTAAGTATTATATAAAGCCTGTTGATGTTTATGTTTCATCTCATTTCGATGTTATCAAACACATGCTTTCGAAACCAATAATGCATAGCAGAGTTGGTAAATGGGCTTTAGCCTTAACAGAATATTCTTTGACTTTCATGCCTTTAAGAGCTGTGAAAGGTCAAGTAATTTCTGATTTCATTGTGGACCATTCACTGGTCGAAAAGACTGTCATGGGTTACGTTGAAATGCGACCTTGGAAATTATACTTTGATGGTTCGACCCATAGGGATGGTAGTGGTGTTGGAGTTCTTATAATTTCTCCTGAAGGAATTCCAACAAAATTCAAGTATAAGTTAGATGGTCCTCGTTGCTTGAACAACGAAGCTGAGTACGAAGCGCTTATTGTTGGACTTGAAGCTTTGTTGGAATTGGGGGCAACTAGAGTCGAAATTAAAGGAGACTCAGAGTTAGTGGTCAAGCAAATAACAAAGGAGTACAAATGCATAAAGGAAAATCTGATGACATACTTCGTCATAGTTAATAGGCTACTTAGAAAATTCGAATACATGGATATTCAACATATACCAAGAATAGAAAACCAAGAAGCAAATGACTTAGCACAGTTGGCTTCAGGTTATAAAGTTTCTACCAAAAACTTTGAGGATTTGGTCGAATTAAGAGGTAGGGTTATGGCTACTAGATTCATACCATCAGATCTAGAGAATATAAAATTAAGTTATGCTGATAAACAGGGGTTCGAAGTACTAGCCATAGACACCTTATCAGATGTGGATTGGCGAAGTCCACTTGTGAGTTATTTAACAAATCCAACATTGAATGTTGATAGGAAGATAAAATATAGAGCATTATCATATGTCCTCATGGGAAATGAATTGTTCAAAAAGACCCAGGAAGGTGTATTACTGAAATGCCTAGGAGAAAGTGAGTCATACTTAGCATTGTCAGAAGTCCACAATGGGGCATGTGGGGCACATCAAGCAGGTCATAAAATGAAATGGTTGTTATTTCAATATGGCATGTATTGGCCCATCATGCTCAAAGATTGTATAGACTTTGCTAAAGGGTGTGAAGAATGCCAGAAACATGCAGGAATTCAACATGCTCCTGCAAGTGAGTTACATTCGATCATTAAACCATGGCCCTTTAAAGGATGGGCATTAGATTTAATAGGAGAAATTAATCCGGCTTCGTCTAAAGGACATAAATATATCTTGGTAGGAATAGATTATTTTACCAAGTGGATCGAAGCAATACCATTAATAGTTGCTAATCAAGAGGCTATTATTGAGTTCATACAGAAACAAATTATCTATAGGTTCGGATTGCCAGAGAGCATAACCACAGACCAAGGTTCTGTGTTTACTGGTAGGAAGATGCAAGAATTTGCTCAAGAGATGGGGTTTAGATTACTAACATCAACACCATATTATGCTCAAGCAAATGGTCAGGTCGAAGCAGCCAATAAAGTGATAATAGGGTTAATTAAGAAACATGTTGGTAAAAAGCCAAGGAACTGGCACAAGACTTTGGACCAAATACTATGGGCCTGTAGAACATCTCCTAAAGAAGCTACTAACACCACGCCTTTCCAAGTAACATTTGGTCATGATGCAGTTCTACCAGTAGAAATTCATCTACAATCAGTTCAAATTCAAAGACAAAACGATATCCCATCTGCATTATATTGGGAGATGATGATGAATGAGTTAGTTGAGTTAGATGAAGTTATATTGCATGCATTGGAAATCCTAATGAGACAAAAGGAAAGGGTAGCCAGGGCATATAACAAAAGGGTGAAAGGAAAAGCATTCACTATTAATGACTTAGTCTGGAAAGTCATATTGCTCATGGACAAGAAAAATAAAACATTAGGTAAATGGTCACCTCATTGGGAAGGACCTTTTCGAATAGTAAAGATATTTTCAAACAATGCATATGAAATCGAAGAGTTGGCTGATGATAAGCGAATCCTAAAGGTTAATGGGAAATATTTAAAGAAATATAAGTCACGCCAGCAGGAGATTCGAATAATAACAACATAATCGAAACATCATAAAGGAATGCCAAAATGGTAATATAGATTGCCAAAATGGCGTTGTTTGGATATTACAGACCAAAATTCAACCAAGATTCAAAACTAATTAAATAAATAGAGATTTAAAAATAGGCATTGTTCCTCAATCTATTAAAAGTACTCCGAAAGGACTCAAGCCTTTGTTGAGTGAAGCGCCTTGCTCCTTCCAGGGTATCTACTTCTCCCTTAAGTTGCTCTGCTGCTTCCATTTCTGCAAGTCCTTTGTTGAGGAGCTCTTCGAACTGATTGCCAGCAGTATTGGTTTCATATGCCAATTGTTGTTGTTGAGCCTCCTTAACCTTTTGTTGGAGCTCTTGAATTTGCTTTTCCCAGAGAACAATAGACTGAGCTCGAGCTTCATAGTCAGTTTTGGCTTGCTTTATATGCATGGCTTGGTCTTCAGCTTCTTTAGAGAGCTTCGAAGCATGCTCATAAGCAGCGTCCATGGCAGTTCGTTTCTCCTGGACCTTTTTAGTAGCAAATTCGTCTTGAAGAAGACACCCAGTCACGTTATCTAACAAAGCTTGAAGATCGAATAATATGGTGCTGACTGGCAAAGAGCAGGTGGCGAGGTTAACTTGCGTAAGTAGCTCCTTCATGGTATAACAAGATGTACTATCCTTCTTGAGCACTTCGAATAAGTCCACATCAAGAATTGTTCTCCTAATTTTGTTAAGGAGTACAACTCTATCATCTGAGGGCAATGGATCATTAGTCAAACTAGTACCAGCCCTAGCAAGAGGAGTTTCCCTTTGAGCTAGTTTAGCCTTCATATACCCAATTGGATCATTTCGTCTTAGGAGAGCTAACTCCTCTTCAGTCATTTGAGATTGAGACGATTGAGGAAGTTCCATACGCAAGGGAGTCACATCCATCTCGACTTCCATAGGCTCATTGGTCTGGTCACCATCACCTTCACTTTTTTCTTGCTCATTGCCTTCTTCATCATCAACCAGATCCACCACTTCGATATCATTGTTCTCATGGCTATTGACATCTGACTCTGTTCCATCAGTCGAACCATTCTGGGCATCTTCTTCCTCGGATCCTTCCTCTGCAGATTCTTCGTTCTCTTGATCAGAATCAGCCTTCTCCTCTTCAGCATGAATGTCCTTTGGGCTCTCTTGAAGGGTTTCGAGAGGAGACTTTGGAAGAGAAGTTTCTGGTAAAATCTTTGCAGACTCATGAGGCGTTGCTTCATTCGTTTCTTTTAAAGGAGGAGAAGTGCATTGGTCATCTTGTTGCTCTGAAGCCCCAGTCGAAACCGCCATGTTGGAGGATCCTTTGTTTTGCACCAGGTTATTGGAGTCCCCATGAGGATAAGAGTTGATGGGAGCAGCAGTCTTTGATGGAGAAGTCGAAGTAGTAAGAGTTGGGTTCGAAATGTCCTACAGAGACAAAGAATA